TTCGTTAATCAAGAGTCGTTAGAAAACTCCATATTCCAAAAATCATGCTTGTCTGGTGAAAAACAACGATGTTATAATTTTATCTCGTTTATCATGACCGTCCCTCTAGACGGGAAGGGGGCGTCCTTATTGCAGTAGACGCTAACCTCACGTCAGAAGAGGTTTTGACAGAAGATCATTTGAACTTTGAGCTTGAATTTTTATGCGTAAAACTGTCTGTCGCTGGCAGGTTAATTTTTATTACCTGCTCTTACATACCTCCTTCGTCCGAACTTGAGGACTATTTTAGGCACCTATCAGGTATAAAGTCAATTTCGAGTTCTTTGTCCGATATGGTTAGTAGTTCTAGGGGATTTTAATATACCTAGGGGATTTTAATATACCTGGAACTACGTGGTCCTCGGATGATAATTCCAATGCTTTACACCCCATAGGCCAAAATGAATTCATTGACGGTCTACTTGACATACCTCTGTGTCAGGTAAACCATGTTCGAAATTCTTTAGATCGCTTACTTGATTTGTGCCTCGTCTCAAATCCTGAAAGTGTTGTTCTTTCTAGAGCAACTCCACTTACGCTGCCTGAAGATCCATATCACCCTGCTTTCGAGGTGACTATCGACACTGGTATAACAGTTAAAAATAATGCTATAAAGCCAGCCAAGCGAATTCATTGTTTTCGCAAGGCAAACTTTCTGAGACTTAATCATCTTATATCTGGCAATGACTGGTCCGATCTCTATTCCTGCAATAATATGGAAGACGCCATTACAATTTTTTATTCGGCAATCAAACTGTTTTTTAACTCATGTGTTCCGCTATATAACCCGTCAACATCCCATAAACCACCTTGGTTTAGCAAAGAGTTGACACACCTTAGGAATTTAAAGTCCAGACTTTAAAAAAAATATAAAATTTCAGGTTGTCAGTCTGTTTTTGGAAAATACATAAGAGCTCGGTCAAACTTTACCGTGCTTAACGCTCAGTGTTACAAGAATTATTTAGTCCGTTGCAGGTCCCAGTTTTTACGGGATCCCAAACAGTTCTATAATTTTGTCAACACTAAGCGCAGATCATGTTCCTTTCCGCCTTCGCTCTCGTTTGAAAGTAGGACGGCTAACACTGATCAGGCAATAGCCGATCTGTTTGCCCAATTCTTTCAAACAACTTACTCTACAGTGTCTCATTCAAGTGAGCAATATTTATACTCAATACCTAAGTCGAACCTTATATTTCGTCCCACCTTAAACGAAAGCTCCCTACTTTTGGATCTTCAACGTGTTACTCCAGTTTACTCCCCAGGTCCTGACGGGATTCCTGGGTGTGTTCTTAAACACTGTGCAAATGCATTGTGTAAACCCCTTCTCAAGCTGTTTACCCTATCCCTACAAACTTGTCAGTTTCCCCTTGTTTGGAAAGAGTCATTTGTTATTCCCCTTCATAAAAAGGGAAGCAAGTCGGATGCTTGCAATTATAGAGGTATTTCTAAATTGTCAGCAATTCCAAAGCTTTTCGAACGTGCAGTAACCCCCCACTTGCAGCACCTTTGTAGATCAATCATATCTCCATGCCAACACGGATTTATGAAACGCAGGTCTACCACAACAAATCTTTTAGAGCTCACATCCTTCGTGATAGATGGCTTTAAAAATAATTTCCAAACTGATGTCATTTACACAAACTTTAGTAAAGCATTTGACTCTGTAAATCACTTCCTAATGATTCGCAAACTTGACATGATGGGGTTTCCAGCAGATCTTTTAAGTTGGATCTTTAGTTATCTCAGTGGCCGAACGCAAAGAGTCCTTTTCAAAAATTCCTTAAGTAGTATCCTCAGAGTTACCTCTGGTGTACCACAAGGAAGCCATCTGGGACCATTACTTTTTACCTTGTTTATCAATGATCTTCCATCGATCATTGTGCATTCCCGCGTACTTATGTACGCGGACGATGTAAAACTGTGTCTGCAGTATAATGATTACTCCCGTCACTTAAACCTTCAAGCAGACCTAAACAATTTTCAAAACTGGTGTAACGAAAATTTACTGAAATTAAACAGCTCTTAAATGCAAGCTGATGACCAGGGCTAACAGAGTTATGTTCTTAAAAACGTAAAAATATGTATGGATTTATGGACGAAAAAATAGAGAAATATGGACGAAAAAGTTGACAAATATGGAGTAAAATGGATAAATATAGATAAATATGGATAAATATAGGTAGTATAGACGAAAAAAGGGATAAATATAGGTATAAAAATGGATAAACGTAGACGATTATATCGAATATATTAACTTTTTATGACAATGAACAATTAGAAATCGCTACACACAAAAGTGCGCCGTTTGTCTCAAAGATCATTGCAGATTAGTAAAAACAAAACTACGGCGTTTGTCACTCAATATGTGTTTATATGATGAAAGTGAACGCTCAACATCGCAAGTTGTAACAGGAGCATTTGCATATGCATTCAGTACATCAGGTGATAAATTCAGGATAAGATCGTCACCTTCTGTAGAACTATCAATGAGATTTCCTGCTAACATTCGCGATATGTCCTGAAGAATTCGCAGATCCATAATTGTTACATTCGATGATACATATTTTGATTGATTAACGACGCAACGATGTTTTGTTTACATTATTTATTATCGAGTATAAGGCAAACGACAGAAATTTCATAATATTTGAGCCAAACATATCTTTCTATAGGTTTTCAGACAATTTAATGCTCAAAATATGGATTTATTCAAGTGATTGTGTAAAATATGGATTTATAGGAAAAAAAGGCGAAAATATGGAAATAAATATTTTTTCATTTAAAAACATAACTCTGTTAGCCCTGCTGATGACGTTTTGTCGGGTCAATCCACAAAATGTCACCTATTCACTAAGTGGTGGTGCCTTGGAGAGAATAACGCTTGTTGACGATCTTGGCGTCCAATTGGACCCCAAACTTAAATTCTCTGCTCATATTTCGAACATGGTTAATAAAGCTAGGGGAATGCTTGGATTTATTAAACGATGGTCGAAGGAATTTGAGGATCCTTACGTTACCAAGGCTTTATTTATATCGTTGGTCCGGCCAATCCTTGAGTATGGGGCACCCGTTTGGAGTCCTCAATACGGAGTACATGCTGATCGCATAGAATCAGTACAAAAAAACTTTTTAATTTTTGCCCTACGCCGCCTAAACTGGAATGCAAACCTATTCTTACCCTCATATTCTCATAGATTGCTCCTCATAAACTTTCCCTCCCTTACTAACCGTAGAACGATGCTTGGTACTGTATTTATTCATAACCTTATACGTGGTGAAATTGACTGTCCTTACTTGCTGAGTAGACTAAATTTCTCGGTACCAAGTACGCTCCTTTAGTTTTATATCTTTGTAGATCTAATTACGACGTGCATGAGCCTTTCAGGGTACTTTGTTCAGACTATAATAGACTGTATTCTATAGTATCTTCTTCTGACTCTCTGGAACTCCTAAAAAGATCAATACTAACATTTCTGGCACAAAATTAGATCGTTAAATTTAAAATTAAAATAACATTTAACTTTCTTTCATCACCTTTCGTTTTAAAATTTTTTTTTTTAAAAATCGCGTCAAAATTTATCGCGAATCGTGCCGTACGTTAGACGGCGGTCGCCCCTCGGTCGGTTGGGCGGGATTGTGGGCCGTGGGACTACGCGCGTAAAAAAAAAAAAAAAAAAAAAATTTCTATACAGATTTTTATTTAGATATTTCTATACAGATTTTTCGGTCTTTCCTATGGCAGCTATGTATATGCTAACATTGTCAGATTTAATGAAATTTTTTTCTCGATTCAAGAGTTATTAAAAAGCTCCATATTTTGAAAATCATGCTCGACGGATTAAAAACAACGATGTTTTAATTTTTTTCCCATTATTTCTATGTATATTTTTCGATCTTGCCTAATCTGAAATTCAATTTTAGTTAGAAAATGCCATCTGGAAGAAATTAAGTCGATCTGGGAGCTATCCGATATAGTCGGCCGATCCGGCCCGTTCCGACTTATATACTGCGTGCAATACACAACTTTTGGATATCAGTTTTTGGCACTTGCGACCTTTAATTTGTTACTTCCAAAACGCATGGGTACAAGTGCTCAAGTAGTGTGTTCAAATTACCAAAAATAATCAATAATACTCCCACAACATTACCAACGATCTGCTCATAACAACATAGACCAGCCCAATGCCCTTGTTTAAGACTTCGACACTGGCGATGACAACAACCACATCAACTGCAGTTTCTCTTTGGTCAGCTCTTTCTGACAAGCTAGCCAATACCCAACCCAAAAATACCAAAAATCTTAACGGATCGTTAATTCAAACAGAAATCGATAGGTACGTGCAAATTAAAAAAAAAAATTAAGTACAGAAATAACAAAAAAAAAAAAAAAACAAAATAAAAACAAATTTATTATATAAAAAAAAACAAGAAAGGAAGCTTATATACCCTTGCGGTTATCAAATATGTCGATCAAAATGCATAAGGGCTAAACAACATCGAAGCTTTGATGAAATTTCTATTAATATTCCAAGGCTATATGATATGGCAGTCCGATTTTTATGAAATCTAATTTGCATTTTAAAAAACGTTAGAAAACTGTATATTCCAAATTATTTTCATAATTTCTATATATAATTTTTAATCTTTTCTATGGCAGCCATATGATAACGTTGTCGGATTTTAATGACCCCATTCAAAGGTTATTAAAAAATAATACACATTTGGATGCTTTTTGATTTGTGGGATTGAGAGCAACGACGTTATAATTTTTTTTCCATGGTTTATATAATATATTAGGTTGTCAAAAAAGTCTTGCGGTATTTTCGCTAATTGGCGCTGAAAGCGCGTAGTTCTTGTTTTATTCGTCGCATCAAGTCATACTATACCTTTTTGGAAAGTCATTTCACGCGCTAACACGTGTTTGATTGATTGTCTTTTCTTTTAAGGGGGGCTTTTCATGTAAAATTTAAAAAAAATCGAAATTTTTTTTTTTTCATAAATCGATGGAATAACGTCTTAAGGGGACGTTCTCTTTGTTTTGGATCAAAAAATCGATTTTTTTTTTTTTGCAAAAATTGAAAGCCACATATCCTTAGAATATGTGTGTGAAAGAAATTTTCGATACGATGATGCGTCAGGCGCGCTGTGGTATGCGCTAAAAACTTTAAACGCGTTTTTCTCGAAACCATGTTTTTCAAAAAAATTACGCGTCCACAGCTTCATCCTGTGAACCGATTTGCTTCATGTAAATTTTTTATGAAAGTAGATGCTTTTCTTTAGGGCACTAACCTACTCCGGAAAAAAACAATAATTTATTTATAATTTTTCAACGTGGGTTAACTGAAAAAAAATGTACGAAAATCGAACTTTAAAATTCGAACGTTAATTACGCGGTCAATTTATGGCCGCAATTTGATGCCACTAGGTTAGTGCCTCGCACAAGTATATTAACTTTACATAATGGTGACAATTTTCTATTTCTGTTGACAACAAGAGGCTGCAGGCTCGTAATTTTGGGACGATGTTTGCCGCGCGGAGGCAGACGAAAGCCGCCATTTTGCAGCCGCCATTTTGAATTTCACCATCAAATAAATTTTAAAAAAATCTTGAATAATAAACGAATTCAAAAAGCAAAACCCGAAGTTCGTACGCCTTTTCATTATCCCACAAAAAATTGACGAACTTTGCCTTCATTTCGACCAAAACAAAGAGAACGTCCCCTTAAGAGTATATTCCCGAAGTTTTATAACTCAACTCTCAATATTATGGAAAATATCAGTGATTGAACGAGCGCGCTCAAGTTCAAGACCCACACTAACTCAAAACTTTAAATCGTTTTTTCTCAAAACTATGTTTTAAAAAACGCGGTACACGATTACGGAAAAACTACTGAACCTATTTTTGATTTCTAAAAAGTGTTTTGCAGATTATACATTGAACGAGTGCGTGAATATCTGAAATTGTGAAAAAAAAAGTTATTTTATACACTTTTCAGCCCAATTCAGCCAAAAAAAGACGAAAAAATGGCACTTTTTTTTCAAGACGTGATTTCAATATTTTAAAATCGAATTTTTTGAAGTGGCTGACATTCACGCTCTCGTTTGAACCTTGCTGCATACAAAAAAATTTTTTTTGTGTTTTTTTCAGATGAAAACTTTTTGCTCCACACTGTACCGCAATAAGTCCCTCAGCCGCGTCGAGCCACACGCGACCTTGAATAAGTCCGCCATTTTGTTTTTTAGAATTTTCAAAAAATGTTTTTCTCATACTTTAAACATGTCTTCAAATATGTGCAAAAAATTATTCGTGTAAGTTTTCATTTTCCAAGTGAAAAAAATTCCCAAAAAAAACCACTACTTTTTGGCATGTTACATGAGAAGCCCCCCTTAAGTCGTTCGTTAGTTATAGCGTCGCAATCATGGAGCAAAATAAAGAGAAAATACGGCATATTTTACAGTACTACTACGATAAAGGCAAAAATGCATCTCAAGCCGCCAATAAAATTTGTGCAGTTTATGGACCCGATACAGTTTCCATTTCCACCGCCCAACGATGGTTTCAACGTTTTCGTTCTGGTGTAGATGTGGTCTAAAATGCGCCACGCTCCGGAAGGCCTGTCGTCGAAAATTGCGATAAAATCGCTGAATTGGTCGAAAGAGATCGGCATAGTAGCAGCCGTAGCTTGGGTCAAGAGCTGGGCATGAGTCATCAAACCGTTATTAACCATTTGAAGAAGCTTGGAGTCACTAAGAAGCTCGATGTATGGGTGCCACACGAATTGACGCGAAAAAACATTTTTGACCGTATGGATGCATGCGAATCGCTTCTAAATCGCAACAAAATCGACCCGTTTTTGAAGAGTATGGTGACTGGCGATGAAAAGTGGGTCACTTACGATAACGTAAGACGCAAACGGTCGTGGTCGAAAAGCGGTGAAGCTGCCAAGATGGTGGCCAAGCCTGGATTGACGGCCAGGAAGGTTCTTCTGTGTGTTTGGTGGGATTGGCAGGGAATAATCCACTATGAGCTGCTCCCCTATGGCCAAACGCTCAATTCGGACCTGTACTGCTAACAACTGGACCGCTTGAAGAAAGCACTCATGCAGAAGAGGCCATCTTTGATCAACAGAGGCCGAATTGTCTTCCACCAGGACAACGCCAGGCCACACACATCTTTAGTGACGCGCCAGAAGCTCCGGGAGCTCGGATGGGAGGTTCTTTTGCATCCACCGTATAGTCCGGATCTCGCACCAAGTGATTACCACCTGCTTCTGTCCATGGCAAACGCGCTTGGTAGTCTGAAGTTGGCCACAAGAGAGTCCTGTGAAAATTGGCTCTCCGAGTTTTTTGCCAATAGGGAAGCGAGCTTCTATGAGAGGGGCATTATGAAGTTGGCATCTCGTTGGGAACGCGTCATCGAACAAAACGGGGCATATTTGACTTGCATCGCATTATTGTAACCAATTTTATGAACAATTGAAAATTCAATAAAAATACCGCAAGACTTTTTTGACAACCTAATATATATTTTTTCATCTTTCCTATGCCAGCTATATGATAGAGTTATCCGATTTTTATAAAATTTAATCCGAAATTCAATAGTAGATAGAAAACGCCATCTGGAAGAAATCAAATTGATCTCATTAAAAACAAAGGCGTGAGAATTTTGTATATCATTCTCTCGTATCCGATATAGTTCCTACTTATATACTGCTAGCAATAACTACACAAATTTAGAAAGAGAGCAAGATAGCTTTAAAACTGAGAGACTAGTGTTGAGCTAATAAGCTTTTTTTTAGCTGTTGAAGTAATTATGCACGAAAAAAATTTTGTTTTTGAATTCTGGTAGCAGCGATTTTATTTTCGACGAAAAAGAGTTACAGAAGGTCCGCGGGATCGAAAAGAAGTAATAGAATAGAATCGAGACGCGGATCAGCCGATTGCTGACCCAAAGTATAAACCAACAAGCAACGAGAGAGAGCGAATAGAAAGATAAAGAGAGAGAGAGAGAGAGCGATGGTTATTATGCAGATAAGCTAAGAGCTACCATTAAGAGAACCTAAATATCTGCTGTGGCTGGATGACCCGACATACTCCCCCCGTTGGAAGCCTGGCTTTCAACAGCATCCTTAAGGGGTAGCAGACACAGCTTATTAACTGCTCGTTTTGCCGCTCCAGATGTTGTCTTGAGCACGGCAACTTGAGCAACTCCATCTCGACCACACAGAAGCTCAACGACTCTCGCTAGGGGCCACTTCATCGGAGGCAAGTTCTCATCCTTGACCAGCACCACGTCACCGACAACCAGGCCAGGCTTCGGGGTACGCCATTTAGAGCGCTGCTGCAGTAGCGTCAGGTAGACTTCCTTCCATTGGGTCCAGCGGACTTGCTGCAAATAGGCCACACGTTGACATCCATCCAATCGTTCCGTCTTCCTCCCCCAATAGGACAATACTGGGATCGAACGATGCAGAATAGGGCGCGAGGTCCAGTGTACAGATTACGCTCATGAAAGTGAGTAATGATGGCGCCAGTGACAGGATGGCTTCGTGACAATATGATTGGATACGGCCATTGAAGTCCAGCGACGAGTTTCTTAGTCGGCCATCCACTCCAAGAAGCCCAAACTGATCCATAAAGGGAAATGGAGATCCAACCGAACTAGATGGGGCTACTGCTCCTTTAGACTGCAAGGATTTTATGTCGCTTTGGATATCCGACGCATTAAGATCCGGCTGACGAGTGCGATTGATAAACTTGTAGACGTATCCGAAAATCCTTTGAAGGGCAGCGAAGGAATTTGCAAATTTGGAACAGGCTACGATGTCTGCGTATGGTGATTTTATTAGCAATACCTTTCGACGATCATCAAGGCGATCCAAGCTATTCTCCTTACTAACGAGAGGTACAGCAAGGGGCGAGATTAATGAAGAGCCATTGGAGACGCCATATCCTCCGGAAACAATCCATCCCAGTCGAGTCTTTTGAATAAGCGGTAATCCAGGTGCGAGCTTAATTTGTCCAACGCACAACAGCTCGTAAAACAAACTGGCTCCAATCAAAAGATCCACACGCTGAGGGATGTTATTAGATGCAGTTGAGAGCCCGAATCAAGAAGGACTCGACATGGAACGAAAACTCCAGAACGATTTTTTACGAGAACGGTGGTAGTGGCTAGGAGCACATTGTCAGTACTGAAATCCTGAGCAATAAGAGCAGTGGATGTGGAAGGCACGGCAGACGGTTCTACGACAGCATTGAGTGAGACAGCGGCAAGAGCTTCTGGAAGCTGTGATCCTGCCTGTGGAGAAGCTGAGGCTAAATTTCCCAAGTGAAGGAGGGTGTGGTGTTTAGCTCCGCATGTACGACAATTGCTGGAATTGCACTGCCTCAATTGATGCCCTATCTTAAGGCAGTTTATGCAAAGAGAGAGCCTCTTTACTTCTTGAAGCCGATTTGCAGGGGGCAGGGCATTAAAATCTTGGCAGTAATGAATGGAGTGACCAGAAGCATTACAGAACGAACAAATCCAAGGGTTAATATTTGTGGCAACAAAAGCGGATCTACGAGAATTAGATGTTCCGTTGTGTCCCACCTGATTGCCAGACGCATAGCTTGCCATGGCGAAATCCATAGTCTCCAATGTTCTGCATTGCTGCTCCAAAAATGATGCCATGGATTCCCACATCGGAATTAGATTGATGAATACTGGATCCTCTAAACGCTCCTCCCATTTGGCCTAGCTCGCAGGATCTAGCTTTTGAAGCAGTATTTGAACGATGATGCATCCTGCGATTTGTTCCGTCGTGCCCAATCCCTTTAGAGCACGAATATGAGCGTTAAACTTATCGGACAGCTCACGAAGCATCGAGACGGAACCACTCTGCACTGCCTTAAGCCCCAGGATCTCAGTAATGTGTGCCTGAAAAACTAAACGACGATTATCAAATCTTTTTTGCAATAAGTCATATGCCACAGAATAATTGCCATCCGAAATTTCCAGCGAGCGGATGGTTTCTAACGCAGAATCCCTCAGGCATGAACGTAGGTAGATGCTGCAGCTTTTCTATGTTGGTCAGGTCAGGATGACTATCTATGATGGTAGTGAACATAGAGTGAAAATCGGCCCAATTCGCATAACCTCTAGCGAATTTCGGAAGTTCAAGAGCGGGAAGTGGAATCGCTCGGCGCAGAGCTTGGCGCTGTTGATGGGCGAAATGACCGGGCGTATTACCATCAGCAAAGGTTGAATGCTGAAGCAATTGCGAGGAGCGATTTGTGATCTCTGAACGAACCGTCGACATAAGAATTACGAAGACGTCATCAAATTTCTTATCCAAATCGTTTTCAATTTCCTCGAAATCCAATTCCCGAGCTCGTTGAGAACCCTTTTAAATGCGCCCTGAAGCTCCTCGATAAGCTCCAACCTCACATGAAGGCCAGAATCGTCTAAGAATTCAACGCCGAACTTGACAAAGATTCCATTAATCGCTCCACTCTATTAAATAGTGAAGTTTCCTTGCGCCTCAGAAATGTCACCCTGTTTAAATTGCCATTGCCGTTGACAATTACCGAATTTTCCGTAGACATGTTAAGCAGCAACAACAAAAACAAAAAATGCAGCAGATTCGGTGGGCAAAATTCGGCTTAGCGGGAAAATGAGCGCAAAGAGTAATATTGAAAACAGTTCACTACTGGTCTATGTACCGCCTTTTGTACAAGCTTGTGTAATATTATTTGCACAAATCAACTTATACAAATTTGTTTTGTTTATGGCCGGCCAACGCACAACGAAGCTGCAGCAACGATAAAAAGAGATATGCAGATGGTAAAATAAATTAATTCTTGTGACTTGTACTGGGTACTTTTTTGCACAAATCACGTCGGGGTCACCAAATGTTGAGCTAATAAGCTTTTTTATTAGCTGTTGAAGTAATTATGCACGAAAAAAATTTTGTTTTTGAATTCTGGTAGCAGCGATTTTATTTTCGACGAAAAAGAGTTACAAAAGGTCCGCGGGATCGAAAAGAAGTAATAGAATTGAATCGAGACGCGGATCAGCCGATTGCTGACCCAAAGTATAAACCAACAAGCAACGAGAGAGAGCGAATAGAAATATAAAGAGAGAGAGAGAGAGAGAGCGATGGTTATTATGCAGATAAGCTAAGAGCTAGCATTAAGAGAACCTAAATATCTGCTGTGGCTGGATGACACGACAACTAGTTTACAGAGAAACGGACAGACGGACAGGCGTACAGACGTATTTCAATTCTGATTGATGCTGATATATACTTTATGGGGTCTGAGGTGTCTCCTTCACTTCGTTGCAAACTTTAGACTGAAATTATAATACCCTTTGCTCTGCAAAGGCATAAATATAAAAAAAAATAGAAAACTCACCTTTTAATTTCTTTGTCGGTGTTGTTGTCGGATATCCAACATTTTTTTTTCATATTAACTTCCTTACCAATTTCAACCATGGGTTGAAAACTTAGTTCTAGCTTAATGTATTTAGTTAAATCAATATTGTCAAAAAAATGTGGGTACGCTTTTTCCGTTTCAATAGAATCACGTAAAAGCGATATTAAACACGATGTTTTACTGCTTTTATTTGATGAAGTACTTTTTATTTCGCAAAAGCCGCTTTTAAGCTCGAAGTCTGTTTGGGATGAGTCAGATGAATTTAACATGAGTCGTGTTTTTGCGTTGAAATTATTTTCAAGTCGATTTTTTAACATATGCTCAACTGAGTTCAAATCTGAATATGGTATGGTTCTAAGAATTTCATTTTTTTCATTTTTCTGACACCGCAGATTTGTAATAATATTTTTAAGATGTTGATCTTTGCGATCAGTTTTTAATGGCTCTAAATGATTTTGGTTAATTTTTGAATTTTGAAGACTTCGTTTTTTAGGGTTTTTAGATAAGGTTTTTGTTTGTTTTAAGTTTTTAACTCGTATTTTTCCGTACTTAAGCTTTAAATCTGTCAACCTTTTTATTGTGTTTTCGATAAAGTAGTTTATATCCCATGGAATCTCTTTTATCGAGTAACCTTTAGGTATTATGATATTAAGAAGTATATCACGAATGTTGTCTAATTCGAAATTACACATTATTTCTCCTTGGCATGAATAGTTATGATCACTCATTGTGCCTTGAAAGCGTTCATTCAATGTTCGTACACTTTTAGGTGCTCTGCAAAAATTCTGTTTAGCTTTAGAGCTCATCAGATCTGCAATATGGCTACAGCTATCAGATTTAATATAGGTTTCAATTTCATTTGAAACGTCGTATGAGGACCTCACAGAAGTTGTTTCGTTATTTTTTTCTGGATCACTATTAATATCGTCTGGAAAGGATTCACCTTTGTTTGCAACACCACAATGCTGCAAGCCTTCTTTAGAAATTCGTGGTGGTAACACGGCATTCATTTTAATTTCTGAAAATAATCAAAAATCAAAGTTAGTGTTGCTGAAAGATTGTAAATACTCGTTCAGACTAAGATAACTTTTTTAAGAAAATAATCTAGCAGGAAAGACTATGACACCATCAAAAATTTAAACAAAATAGCAAAAAATCGTATTTAGATGAAATTTCAAAAAAAAAATTTAATACAGTTATCTTTAGTTATGGCTTGACACCAAGGCTACATTTTAGTATAAATTTAAAAAACTTTATTATAGAAAAAACGCGATTTGTCGAACAAAATACATAAAGGCTAAACAACATCAAAGCTATGTCGACTTTTCTATGAAGTTTTTATATTGAGAGGATTGTTCATATGACAGGCGTCCGATTCTTATGAAATTTAATTCAAAAATCAAGATTCGACAGAAAACTGTATACTCCAAAAACCAAAAATCGTGCTTGTCTGATGGAAAACAACAATTATCATTTTATTTCCGCTAATTCAATATTTGTATACATACAAGTATTTTTCGATCTCTCGAATGGCAGCTATACGATATATACGATATAATTATACGGTTTTGATAAAAAAAGGTTTATTCGCCCGATCCGACCCGTTAAAAAGTTTAATTCAGGCTGCCCAACATTAATTTAAGAACTTTGGGGACAACTCTAAGATCTGCCTTTCGCGTTGGCACTAGCTAGGGAGGCAGAAGCCAGCATTGAACGGAACTTGTTTTGCCGCAACTTATGCCAGGGCCATGAAACAGAAACACCAAAATACAGACTTTCATAAGGGAGAGCATCGTAGAGTCAAAAAAGGAAAAACGAAAAAATTCTCACTTCTTTAAAAAGGCGAACATGAATCAGAATATTGATTCTTGGCGCAACCAGGACAACCGGAAAACCAGGAGAACACATGAATTAAGTCACTCAAATAACTCAAATGACCTGCTCAGTTTTTTAGAGGAAGGTTGTTTGGGAAGACTCATCTAGTGAAGCAAAAAATAAACGCCTAATGCATATACATATGGCTTCATAGGCCCCTTCTTAAAATAATTTTAAAGGTTTTAAAAATTGTTTTTGCTTTTTTTTTTTTTTTCTAAGCGACCAATGTGTCGAGAATATTGTGTACAAATTTTAAGTCAATTTTAGTCGACCTAACGGAATTACAGAGTTTTAAATTTTGAATTTTGAGGTATAAAAAAACATTCAAATCGATTTTCCCGAAAACGGTATTTCTGAAGTTCGCGAACATTAGATCTCAAAATCTACTGAACCGATCCTTTTGAAAATTTCAACACATATTCTTCACATTTAAGGGTCGGTGGCCCAGCAGGTAGAGCGCTGGCCTCCGATCCGGAAGGCCCGGGTTCAAATCCCAAAAAGAAACGGTCTCTTTTTCCAAATCTCCACCACTTCCATGCTCTATTGCTCACTTAACAATATTAATAAATTTCGGCTCCCCGGACCCGCACAATCAGTCGTCCACGTTACTATGGACACAACAATAGAACTTTCGTCACTCCTAGATGGCGCTAGGTGGAAGCCCCACCGCTAGGATAAGTCGCTACTGGCTAATCACCAGTACGATCGAAAATCAAAGATTATTGTATCCTCTACAAAAATTGTAGAGGCCATATGCTCCCGGGTGTTATAATATAAAGCCAATATAAGAGTGGCACAGGAAAAAACTAAATTTTTTAAAGAAAGTGTAGGGATTTTAGGCTTTATAGTAACAGCAAATGGAACCAGAATCAACTCAGAAATGGTAAAGGCCATAAAAGAATACTTTGAAACAAAAAGGTTTCTTAGCCTCAGGTCTTTCCTCTACTTGCCTAGCTATAACAGAAATTTTGTAAAACCCTTCGCATCAAAAGCAAGGCCAGCATTCTTGAAAGGAAAAATGGCACAGTTAGCTAACCCATGACAAGAAAAGTTTCGGTCGAATTCGACGATACCCAACGCAGCGAGTTTGAACGCCTGCGAGACATTTTATATATCAGAAGATATTATTTTAATGTGCCCAGACTTTAAATTACCATTACTTGCCTCCGCAAGTGGTATTGGTGCGGTTTTGTCTTAAAATGGCAGACCAATCACCATGATTTCCTTTTTTTTTTAAGATTGCGAGCTAATTTACGCTACAAACGAAAGTGAATTGTTAGCTATCGTTTGGGTTATAGGGAAGATACAGACATACTTGTATGGAACTAAAGGAATACTCTTTGCTTCGCTGGGTCAAAGAGGAAAACAAATGCAGAAATAAAACGGTAAAAGGCATACATCGAAGAACACAATGCAAAATGGTTTTACAAGCCCGACAAAATAAAAACACACTTTAAAATGAGCCTCAATCAGATGTTGCCACTGCGCAAAGAGAACTTTCGCTGACCTACGAGGTGTGTTCAAAAAAATCGCGAATTTTGAATTTTCGCGGGTTACCTCGTATCGATTTTCGATTTTTTCGTGGCGTTATGTTGGTACTCCTGTCTCTCACTTATGCCGACAAGCTCGGGCATTTTGAATGTTCACTTAATTGTTGACAGCAGCTTTGCTTGCACGTGTTTTGGATCGTCTTCGATTTTTACCTTTTCAAAAAAACGGATCAAAGAACCTGTATCAAATTTTGTGTGAAAAACGAAATTAAGTGCGTGGATGCATTCCGAATGTTGACTGTGGCATATGGAGAAGCTACCTTGGACCGAAGCAACGTTTATCGGTGGTACGAAATGTTCTCAGAAGGCCGAGAAGATGTGAACGACGAAGAGCGTGCCGGACGCCCGAGCACTTCAACAACAGACGAAAAAATTAATTTTCTTCGATTGCAGGGGCGTGGTGCATCATGAGTTCTTGCCACAGGGAAGAACGGTCAATAAGAAATATTACCTGCAAGTTATGCGCAATTTGCGCGAAGCAATCCGCCAGAAACGCCCGGATTTGTGGAAGAACAAAAATTGGCTTTTGCACCACGATAACGCCCCTGCTCACACATCGTTGCTTGTGCGCGACTTTTTGGCCGCAGCCACCGTATTCCCCAGATCTGGCCCCCTGTGACTTTTTCCTGTTTCCTTAAGGGGGGCTTCTCATGTAACTTGCCAAAAAGTAGTGGTTTTTTGGGAATTTTTTTCACTTGGAAAATGAAAACTTACACGAATAATTTTTTGCACATATTTGAAGACATGTTTAAAGTATGAGAAAAACATTTTTTGAAAATTCTAAAAAACAAAATGGCGGACTTATTCAAGGTCGCGTGTAGCTCGACGCGGCTGAGGGACTTATTGCGGTACAGTGTGGAGCAAAAAGTTTTCATCTGAAAAAAAACAAAAAAAATTTTTTTGTATGTAGCAAGGTTCAAACGAGTGCGTGAATGTCAGCCACTTCAAAAAATTCGATTTTAAAATATTGAAATCACGTCTTGAAAAAAAAGTGCCATTTTTTCGTCTTTTTTTTTTGCTGAATTGGGCTGAAAAGTGTATAAAATAACTTTTTTTTCACAATTTCAGATATTCACGCACTCGTTCAATGTATAATCTGCAAAACACTTTTTAGAAATCAAAAATCGGTTCAGTAGTTTTTCCGTAATCGTGTACCGCGTTTTTTAAAACATAGTTTTGAGAAAAAACGATTTAAAGTTTTGAGTTAGTGTGGGTCTTAAACTTGAGCGCGCTCGTTCAATCACTGATATTTTCCATAATATTGAGAGTTGAGTTATAAAACTTCGGGAATATACTCTCAAGACGTTATTCTATCGATTTATGAAAAAAAAAATTTCGATTTTTTTTAAAATTTTACATGAGAAGCCCCCCTTAACTGAAGAGGCATATGAAAGGACGACGTTACACTACGACGAGATAAAGACGGCATCAAAGGAGAAGCTGAACAAGATAAAAAAATGATTTTTTGAAGTGCTTCGAAGATTGGACAAACAGTTGCCACAAGTGCATAATATCTCATGGGGATTACTTTGAAGGGGACAAAATAGATATTCATGAATAAATAAATAATTTTTGAAAAAACACAAAATTCGCGATACTTTTTGAACACACCTCGTACACGATGAAATCTTCGAACAAGCCTTTAAACTGCTTCAGGAAACAAATAATTCCAGAAGCAGCCAGCCTTTACGGCGAAATTGTATAAAATTCGAGCATTAAGGGGTTCTATACCTTTTTCACCAGAGAAATACAGGGTTTTTATTTATTTTTTTTAGCATGTTACCATTGTTTTATTTAAATACAATATACATTTTATCAACGTACGTGTCCTTAAGTAAATTCGTATAAAATTTCGAGTGAAAATATTCATAATTGTGGAAGTTATAGTCTTTGCCGCAGAAGTCCTTTTTTCAGTAGTGGCTCACGGTGAGCATGAAAACAAGGAAACGGCTCAACAGAAAAAAAAAAAAAAAACTACGTTAGTATATAGTGTTACCTAGTTCGTGAATGAAGGATTTTACGAAAAAAAATTTTTTACAGTTACAGTGATTATTTTTTCAAAAAAACTGATTTTTTGAGGTCTAATAATTTAGTTTTTCGCCCCAAAAAAATAGAAAAATTTGTCGAAAATAAAATTCCTTCGTTCACGAACTAGCTATTGAATCTACAAACAATCCCCCAAAATTTCAAATCGATCGGCGTAGTGGTTACCGAGATATCGTGCTCACCGCAATGACCTTTTCTCAAAAATGCGATTCCGAGATAATCGCGTTTAAAGTTTTAGCTGGACATTAGGTTGTCGTGTACACCGTGCGCTATGAACGGCTGTATCTTGGGTTCTAGTGCCCCGATCTCTAAAAAATGTTGCAGAAAAATTGTTGAAGGTATGTACATTAAAAAAAAATCATAAAATTTTTTTCGATTTTTTGATTTTGAAAAAGGTATATAACCCCTTAAATTAATTTTAATAGCAAAGATTCTTCAATGCAGACGTTCCTCCCTACATTAACATGACTTCAGTATGCCTTAATGCTAAGAATCCCGGCAACCAATGATATCACAGATGCAAATGAGCAAGAATATCTGGCTAAACTCACTATCGAAGTAGTTTTAAATTGTAGAACGCGCACCAAAGTGCACATCCAAAAATACAGGCATTGGGAATCACATACGCGCGAAATGCTACAGATATCTTTGTAACCAACAAAAAGTTATTCCTCACTTTTACCTCACCGTTTGCCATCGTACAACCGTTACCTTCAATGGCTATTGTGGACGTGCGTGGCCCCATATTGCAATCAATTGGTTGCCTTTCTCACTACAACTTTTGGTAAAGTTTCAGCAAGATAGATTTTAAACTGAGTGACTGTTTGAAGAGAAACGGACAGACAGACAGACAGACGGACAGAGGTACAGACGTTTTTCGATTCAGGTGGTGATGCTGATCAAGAATATATATACATCATATGGGGTCTGAGGTGTCTCCAAACTTCTGACTGAAAGTACAATACCCTTTTGCTTTGCAAGGGTATAAAATAACAACCAACGAACAAAGTTGCAGCTCGAAATAAAATCATTATTTTAATCACTCCTATTCGTGCGTTTAAATATTTACAAAAGGTGGCAAATCGTTGTCTTCCCCACAAACAATTATCAATGTTCTTATTGCATACACTTAGATTAGATTTAGATGTAAAAAGGTCACGATTATTCCCGTGTCTTACCAACTACAGGACATCGTAGTAGCGAAATGCAACAATGAAGTTATGCGTTTAAACAACATACGCATCGTTCTGTAAACTAGCATCCCACGATACTTACGCCCAAGACTTAAATGCGGGAGGTACGGCACAATGCGAAACCCAAGACAGTCATCTAAGCCCTCTCATGTTGTTAGATGACCAAAGTGCCCGGCACGAGTCAGGACCTACGATGGTGGTCGTACCTGATGGTGGTCCATAAGGACAATCAAGTGATGCTTTTTTTGATTTTCTACTTTTCCATTTATTGAACTCACGCTATACAAACCCAATTTCTTACAGGATCACGGGAACTGTACATATAACAATAGCCATTGCATACGCCAGATTTATGGCGGACGGACATTCAAGTAATATTACAGAATTCTTAGATATGGTAGACGAAACTGACAAGTTTTCCGATTTATTCCCGAAATCGCTTATGCGAAATTTATTAGATGTAAACATATTGTAATATCTTGCCTTTGTTAAAAGTAGAATAACATTGACAAGAGCCTAGATTTCTTAGGCACCGTACTCAAGGTAGTAGCTGCAACGGTTATGCAATGCTAAAAATGTCCGAATCAGGATTGATAGACTCAAATAATAAACAGGCAGTAATTATTACGGAATTACAAAACCCAATAAACAAGCTAAATGATACAATTACTAAAATAATTTAGTCAAAAAGAAACCGATTGATTAATTCTCCAAAATTACCTCGGAACCAACATACACTGTAATATTTTCAAAAACACAAGTTGCAGTTCAAAATTAATGCATCTGTTCGGTCATGCCGCAGCCTAAATCAGTCACTAAATTCAAATCGTAACGTAATTCAAATTCTCGATGTTTGCCTTTTGTTTTGCTATTTGCCCTGCGCGGCAACACTGATTTAATTGTCATTGCTAACTACCTTTGCACTTTTTCGCTTATCGCTTCCTGGCCTTGTCCACGGCAAGCTTCATCCCAGTTCGAATTTGTACACGCACATAGAAGGCACGGTCGCTGATCGCCTGCCAAATCTCGGCTTTATATACTTTCGCGACTCAAACGGCACAGACAAATCGGTCTGCCTGCCCATCATACTTTCGTCTAAAGCACAGACAAATCGGTCTGCCTGCTAACCTACCCTTTCGCTGCAAAAAGGCACAGACAAATCGGTCTGCCTGCCCAACATACCCTTTCGCTGAAAAATAGGCACAGACAATTCGGTCTGCCTGCCTAACCAAATCTATAACAAACCAATAACTTTGTGAATTTAAGGCCTTGGTGCCAGGTTAATAAATAAGTGCATATTTAAGTCGAAATTTGTGCGTTATTATTTTACTTGGGCACCACCAAAGGTAATGGTCTTTGAAAAAGCTCACTGACCCAACAGCATCATTATTATAATAATACCTATCGCGTGTGTAATTATTTATCAGTGGTGGCAAAATCGTTGTCTTCCCCACAAATATTTTGTTGACCCCGACTTGATTTTCGTTCCTCGGAGTCTGCAACTTATTTTGCGTTTTGTTTATTATAATATCGTTCAAAAGTTTGTCGTCGTTTACAGGCCACAAACTCACAAACGTACATACATAGTGCATTTAGCCGGTCGTTAGATTTGTGTATATTTCGCGCTGTTTATCAGTTTTTTCGCTGTTGCTAAGCGGGCAAGAACAACAACAACAAATTCAAAGGTTCTGTAACCTTTTGTTGACGCTTAGTGCTTCTGCATTTTCGTGCTATAAAACAGGGTATTTCGTGCATCGGAAACCCGTTCAGACAGTAAATTTTTATTTTTTATTTAGTGTGATTTATAAAATGCCTAATTCTGTCAACGAGGTTCAGCCTCAAAATGGCCCAAATGATATGAATTCTTTCGAGCCAAGTGCAATATTTGCAGCAAACCAACGCGGTGAAAAATTATGCAGTGGCTAACAACATTGAGCAGTTTGATAAAGCTCATATTCTTGCGCGTTTAAAATATATCGACTCTCAAAACATGGCATTTAATTTTGCCCAACCATCCTTGGAAAGGCTGGACATAGCGGAGATCTCTGAATTTATTGAAAAATCGATTTGATAATAAAGTTTTACATTTTCAAGCACATGTACAAGCAATATTTGGTTTAAAGGGTGTCAAGAAGTGATCTGCCAAGGGTCTTCGGGGGCTCAGCGATTTTTTGAATTCTCATCTTTGAGCACTCCGAACCCTGGCCAGTACGGAACAAATTTTGGATGGATTCCTGATTCACATCGTCGCGCACATGCTGGATCAGAGGACGCTTGCAAAATGGGAAGAGGACTTGCCCATTGCTGAGTTCGACATGGACTCCTATGGAGTCGTTCTTGGAGAAGATGTGCAGGATGATGGAAAACATGGACCAAGCCTTGATAATTCAAACACCAGGCCAACAGGTGGGAAAACACAGATACAGCTCAAATACAATTGCTTCTACTACGACCTTAAATTCTACGGTATGCCTGTTACTAAGGATCATTTCCTGCCGATGTCTTCGCGATTTTTTAACTCGAGTCCAAATATTCAATTTAGAGAAGCAAAGAAGATGCATCTTTGCCTAAACTGTTTGCGCAACGGGGTTTGCAGCAATGCACAATGGGCAAAAAGTCAGAAATTTACGCATAAAGTCTAATTTTAAAGCTAGATGATTCAAATTTGGCATAAGCACGTAAAATGTTAATGTAGAATTTCGGATTTATCCTTTGTTTAATAAAGCCATGCCTTCAACCTTTTCTCCCACAACCAATAAAAACAATCAAAGATTTTTATGGTTAAAAATAATAATTGGCCATCACAACCCTTGACGGGCCACAGCTTGTTGCACGATTCGCCTCCACGCATCCCTGTTTTGGGCGCGCCTTCGCCAGTTGGCAGCACCGGATGTAGACAGCGCTTCCATCACCTGGTCTTGCCAACGCATCCGGGGTCGTCCTCTCCTCCGTTTCCCGACAATTACCGCATCAAACACCTTACGGGCCGAAGCGTCTTCTTCCATACGGGCGATGTGAACCAGCCAGTGGAGTCTGTGAATTTTAACTCGACTGACTACATCAACATCCCCGTACAGCTCATACAGCTCTTGGTTCAATCCAATGCGATAAGCATCGCCAACGCAAAACGGACCAAAGATTTTGCAGAGAATCTTTCTCTCGAACACTCCAAGAGCGGCTGCATCGGACGGCACCACTGTCCAGCACGCCGCACCATATAAGAGTACTGGAAGAATGAGCTTCTTGTAGAGTGTTATTTTTGCCTGTCGAGAGAGAGCTCTAGTGTTGAAATGCCTACTGAGCCCAAAGTAACAACTATTGGCAAGTGTGACTCTCCGCTTAATCTCTAGGCTGACATCATTTGTGCTAGTTATAGCAGTGCCAAGCCAGTCAGCTGAGAAATAAGACGCCGCGATTCTCTGCTTGAGCACACCATAAACTTTGTATTGTCCATGTTCACTGCTAGTCCTAGTTTAGCCGACTCTTATTTAATAGCCCCAAAGGCTGCTGTAACATCACGCTTGGTTCGGCCAATGATTAATATCATCAGCGTAACCAAGGAGTTGGACACACCTGTTTGTCAGGATCGTGCCTGTCCGATGCACACCAGCCTTCCTTACAATACTCTCTATTAGAATATTGAAGAGCATGCAAGATAGCGAGTCACCTTGTCTAAGACCATACTTGGTATGAAAGGTTTCGGATTGGTCGTTTCCTACCTTGACAGAGCTGATGGTGTTGCTCAATGTCATCCTGCAAAGCCGTATCAGCTTTGCTGGTATACCAAGATCAGACATGGCGGCATATAGGCGATCTCGCCGGGGACTATCGAGTACAGCCTTGTAATCGACGAAAAGATGATGGGTGTCGATCTGGTTTTTTTTTTTTTTTTTTTTTTAATAACGCGCGTAGTTCCACGGCCAACCACCCGCGCAACCGGACCGAGGGCGACAGCCGTGTGTCGTACGGCACGATGTGCGAGAATTTGGACGCGATTTTTAAAAGAAAAATTAGGAAAAAATTAAAAACGAAGCAAAAGTGAATTTTATTTTAATTTTAAATATAACGATCTAGTTTCGTGCCAGAAATGTTATTAATAATCGCTTTAGGAGCTGCAGACTCTCTATATAGATACATATATAGACTATAGAAAACAGTCTATTATAGTCCGAACAAAGTACCCTGAAAGGCTCATGTACGTCCTAATTAAATCTACAAAGATTTAAAACTAAAGGAACATAATCTTATATATATAAATCTCCTGTCACGATGTTTGTCCGCGATGGACTCCTAAACTACTTAACCGATGTTAAATTAAATTGGCATACCATGAGCAGTCTAGTCCAACTTGAGAGATAGGATAGCTTAGATCTTTAATTATAGTCGCAATTTTATTTTATTGCTAATTATTTGTCTATAATGGATTATGTTCGCCTGGTACCTAAAAGTGGATTTTCCAATTTGTCCCTTCGAATTCGTTCCGCCAATACCAACATATTCAACCAAACCTCAGAAGGTAGCTTAGAGCCCGGAATAGGACGTAGTGTACTTTTTATTCCGTTCGACATACCAAAATTGCATATAAACTGAGTTATTACCTCATCACACTGACAAGCACATAAGCATTTCAACTAAATTTTTTTGAAGTGAATTGAAGTTATTTGTGATTTTGGTGAATTGAAGTGAAGTGAAGTTTTTCGTGGTTTTAGTGAATTGAAGTGAAGTTTAATTAATAATGCCGCAACCAAGACGATCGAATCGTTCCCGACAAAGCCGTAATTCAAGAAGACTGCAAAATACTGCAAATGAAAGGACTGAAGAAGAACAAAACATTGCACGTGAACAGCGGCCCGTTAGTATGGGTCGACTTCGTGCTTCTCAATAAGAAGAACAAAGTGAGGCAACCAGTAACACGGCTCGGTTGACAATGCAGAATCGTCGAGCTTACAACAGAGGTCAAGAAATAGATAATTTGCGACGCAAAAGATATTTATCAAGGGCTGATTTGAATCAAGCAGTGTTTCAATACGATTGCATCACTGATTACAGCTTGCATCCCAGCGTTTGCAATGGGCAAATGGACGTTGTTTGCAAGTATTGCGGTGCGTTGAAGTTTTACGGAGAAACGCCTGGATTATGCTGCTTTAATGGTAAAGTGAAATTGCCATTGTTGACTTCGCCACCTAAGCCATTGTATTCACTGCTTTGTGGTGAAACACAAGAATCACGCCACTTTCCGGCAAATACTCGAAAATACAATGGTTGTTTCCAAATGACGTCATTTTGGGCAGATATTATCGAAGAACGAGGATTTAATCCGACATTTAAGGTTTTTTTTTTTTTGGTATTACATAGAATTTAGTTAAAGAATAACTTACTTTATCTTAGATACAAGGGCAGATTCACCAGCGAATTGGATCATTACTATCTTTCGAAGATACACAAAGAAAATTTTTACAAATATATTTCATGGGCAACATGGAGAACAACTTGATCGACGCCTAGGGATCAATACAGGAATGAAGCGAGCAATTCTTCAAAACTTGCAGTGTCTGCTTTATGAACATCATGCGATAGTCAGGTTGTTTAAGAGTGCTTTAGAGCGCATGCTAAATGATGACTATAAAGTTGTCATAAAAGCAGATAAACGACCATCTGGAACACACGAAAGGACATTTAATGCTCCAACAATAGACGAAGTCGCCATCCTGATTGTGAACAATTTGGAAATCGAGATATTGTGCTCAAACGTCGCGATACTGGGCAGAAAGCACGACATTGAGATGAATGAGGAGGTACATAATCGGATTTTACTCTTGATCGAAGATATGTGTTACCTCATGTGCGGTAATATATTAATCAGGTTACAATGCCAGCGCCAAATCGTGAAATGAATGTGGCATTTAATCGAGAATTAGAACGGGAACGTGAATTTGACCACCAGGAACTAAATTTATTAGCTCAAACGAATGTACTCCTGTTGAATTCTCAACAGAAGAAAGTTTATGATACTTTAATGAAGGCAATCGAATCGGACGAATAAAATGGTGGTTTATATTTCCTAGATGCCTCTGGTGGAACTGGCAAGACATTCCTCATGTCATTAGCTTTAGCAACTGTTCGGGCGAGATCCAACATAGCTGTTGCAGTTGCTTCTTCGGGAATAGCAGCCATATTGTTAGAAGGATGCCAAACGGCTCATTCAGCATCAAAATTACAGTTAAATCTTCAAATTATTGAAGAACCAACGTGTAATATTGCAAAACACTCAGCAATGTCCAAAGTTTTAATGATATCGAAATAAAATTTTTCCTTTTCATATATAAAACAAAAAAAAATTGTTTTTATCTTTTAAACACCAAACGAAATTTTACCTAAAACTATCGCCATCTGGTGGCGGAACGGAGTTCGCTGGGTTTACTAGTTTCTAATAAATCTACTTGGAACCGAGAAATTTAGTCTACTTAACAAGTAAGCACTGTCAATTTCACCACGTATAAGGTTATGAATAAATATAGTACCAAGCATCGTTCTCCGGTTAGTAAGGGAGGGCAAGTTAATGAGGAGCAGTCTATGAGAATAGGAGGGTAGGAATAGGTTTGCATTCCAGTTTTTGTACTGATTCTATGCGGTCAGCATGTATTCCCTTTTGGGGACTCCATACGGGTGCCCCATACTCAAGAATTGGTCGGACCAACGATATAAATAAAGTCTTGGTAACGTAAGGATCCTCAAATTCCTTCGACCATCGTTTAACAAATCCAAGCATTCCCCTAGCTTTATTAACCATTTTCGAAATATGAAGAGAGAATTTAAGTCTAGGGGCCAAGAGGACGCCAAGATCGTCAACAAGCGTTATTCTTTCCAAGGTTCTCCCACTTAGCGAATAGGTGACATTATGCGGATTAACCCGATAAAACGTCATCAGCTTGCACTTGGAGCTGTTTAAATTTAGTAAATTGTCGTGACACCAGTTTTAAAAATTGTTTAATTACATAAATACGCGGGAATGTGCAATGACCAATGGAAGGTCTTTGAAACGCACCCTTTGTGTGCAGCCACTAAGATAACTAGAGATCAAACTTAAAAGATCAACTGGAAACCGTATCATGTCAAGTTTGCGAATCAATAGGAAGAAATCTGGGTAAATGACATCAGTTTGAAAATTATTTCTAAAGCCATTTATCACAAAGGTGAGCTCTAAAAGATTTGTTGTAATAGACCTGCGCTTCATAAGTCCGTGTTGACATGGAGATATTGCTGATCTACAAAGGTGCTGCAAGTGAGGAGTTATTACTCGCTCAAAAAGCTTTGGAATTGCTGACAATTTAGAAATACCTCTATAATTGCTAGCATCCGACTTGTTTCCCTTTTTATGAAGGGGAATAACAAATTACTCCTTCCAAACAAGGGGAAACTGACAAGTTTGTAGGGATAGGGTAAACAGTTTGAGAAGGGGTTTACACAATGCATTAGCACAGTGTTTAAGAACACACCCAGTAATCCCGTCAGGAACTGGGAGTAAACTGGTGTAACACGTTGAAGATCCACAAGAAAGGAGCTTTCGTTTAAAGAGGGACGAAATATTTACTTCGACTTAGGTATGGCGTATAAATATTGCTCACTTGAATGAGACACTGTGGAGTAAGTTGTTTGAAAGTATTGGGCAAACAGATCGGCTATTGCCTGATCAGTATTAGCCGTCATACTTTCAAACGAAAACGAAGGCGGAAACGAACATGTTATGCGCTTAGTGTTTACAAAATTATAAAGCCGTTTAGGATCCCGTAAAAACTGGGACTTGCAACGGACAAAATAATTTTTGAAACACTGAGCGTTAAGCACGATAAAGTTTGACCGAGCTCTTATGTATTTTCCAAAAACAGACTGACAACCTGAAACCTTATATTTTTTATAAAGTCTGGACTTTAAATTCCTAAGGCGTGACAACTCCTTACTAAACCAAGGTGGTTCATTGGATGTTGTCGCGTTATATACCGAAACACACGAGTTAAAAAACGATTTGATTGCCGAATAAAAAATTGTAATGCCATCTACCATATTATTGCAGGAGTAGAGATCGGACCAGTCATTGCCATATATAAGATGAAAGTTAGCCCTGCGAAAACGATGAGTTCGCTTGGCTACCTTTAAAGCATTATTTTTAACTGTTATACCAGTGTCGATAGTCACCTCGAAAGTTAGCTCTGCGAAAACAATGAGTTCGCTTGGCTACCTTTATAGCGTTATTTTTAACTGTTATACCAGTGTCGATAGTCACCTCGAAAGCAGGGTGATATGGATCTTCAGGTAGCGTAAGTGGTGTTGCTCTGGAAAGAAAAACGCTTTCGAGATTTGAGACAAGGCACAAATCAAGTAAACGATCTAATGAGTTTCGCACATGGTTTACCTGACGCAGAGGTATGTCAAGTAGACCATCAATGAATTCATTGTGGCCTATGGGTTCTAAAGCATTGGAACCGTGGTCCGAGGACCACGTAGTTCCAGGTATATTAAAATCACCTAGAACTACTAACTGATCCATATCGGACAAAGAACTCGAAATTGACTTTTCCACTGATAGGTGCCTAAAATAGTCCTCAAGATCGGACGAAGGAGGTATGTAAGAGCAGGTAATAAAAATTAACCTGCCACCGACAGACAGTTTTACGCATAAAATTTCTAACTTAAAGTTCAAAGGATTTTCTGTCAAAACCTCTTCTGACGTGAGGCTATTATCTACTGCAATAAGGACGCCCCTCCCCGTCTAGAGGGACGATCATGCCTATATACTGTG